GAAGGACCCTTTTGTTGCTGCCCACAACCTTATCTTATCCCATGTTTCTACTGTTCACCTCTACGTACAGAACCAAATACCAGGTACCCTAATTTTCAATGTCATTTGTGAATGATTCATGTTACTACCTCCGCTCTTAAATATAAAAGTCAAATGAAAGATTCACAATTTGGTTCTAAATATAAGACTCCAATTCATTTTTTTTTCAAATTTTGTAATTTTTTTCCAAAAATATCTCTATTGATTGTATATGATAAGAGGGTTTATGTCTAGAATAGTTACAATGCACATAATTAAAAGGGGTATTCTAGAAAAACTATTTGTTATAAATAACTAATTTAAATAATTTTTTTAATATATGCAAATTAATTATCTAAGTTTTATATTAAAGACTGAAAAAAATTTAAAATATGTACGTAGTGCCTCTAATTAAATGTATTGTTTGGCAACTCAGGAAAAACAAGAAGGTAAAATTGGAATTGTGATCAATGCAATATGGTTCGAGCCCTTTAGTAACTCATCAGAAGACGAGTCAGCAGCTGAGAGAGCTCAGTAATTTTACTTCAACTGGTAAATATGAAAGCTACCATTTAATTGTATTAAACATAAATTTATGGAGAAATTGTTTAATATAATATATGATAATGAAGGGTCTTGGACCCAATTATATGGGGGAAGTATCCATCAGAAATGAAGGAAATTTTAGGGCATGACCTCCCAGAATTTTCAAAGTATGAAGTGGAAAGACTCGAGAATAATGGAATAGATTTCAGTGGGGTGAATCATTACACAAGCTATTATATATGCAAAAGATTGCATCTTTTCTGAGTGTGAACCCGGTTTAGGAGCTTCCAAAACTGAGGGTTTTGCCCTTTAAGCTCATCAGAGGAATGGAATCTTCCTCGGAGATCAGGTATGAGACTCTGAATAATATGTGATGTATTTTTTGTATGACTACTTGATAGAATCATATTTAAGTATTGTCAAGTTTAATTAGGGATAACTCTCTCAAAAGAGTTTTCTACATTCACACATTCAAATTTGAGATCTTGTGTTCAAACAACCAAAATCCCTTCCATTAGGACTAATAATGCCTATTAGTAATATATACGGTATACATTTTCAGCCTTTAAAATTTATGAAAACCGTGCATTATTTATAGTATTTAATTCCAATATTTATTATAAAGTGTTGAATAGTTTTCTTATTTTTTAACACTGTAAGAAATTTACTCTATAGAAATAATTGAACAATCATTCCATCAATTCAAAAATATTTTTATTTTTTCATAAATAAGCTTAATTAATGCTTTATTTATACATTCATCAAATGCCCGAGGGAAATATGATTGCTTTTATATTGTTTTCTCAAAGTTGTTTTTCATAACTAAAACTACCAATACAATCACAAATAACTGAAATAAGATAAGATGTCACGACTTAGATGGATAGGGAGAATAAGGATAGGAAGAAGCATATGGAAAATAATAACAAAATAATGAAGAATGGATTTAAGTCCAAGTATAATAGAGTCTAAATTTAGAATAAAGAAACTAATTTCTGGAATGCATATCTATACATATATATTGATATTTTTCAAGAAACAAATTGGTGCATAGGCCGGCCTTGTTCTCAAATATTATATTTTCATTAAAAAAATTAGTAATATATAATAATAAATAATATGCATGTCTTGTCCTGATTAACACCTCTGCAAATCAAAGTAATTATGATTAATATATGTAAATTATGCAGACTGCAGTTGCTTGGCTGTATGTTCATCCTCAAGGAATGGAAAAGATGATTGTATATATAAAGGAGAGGTATAATAATCTACCAATGTTCATTACAGAAAATGGTGAGTACAACTAAAATCAATTTTTATATTAATTATAATGTCACCAATCAATATTCAGTTATTTTTTTATTGGCAAAAAAAATAATCTATGTATCTCAATATTTTTACGATATTATCTCTCTTCGGTTGTATTTGATTATTTTCAGAAGCACTCAAGGTAATTTCAAATCTCCTTTTCCCCCCTCGTAGTCTAACCTTTTTGTGAAATACCCGATGTATATTACAAAATGTAGTTAACATTTATTAGTTCACCCAAAAAAAAAAGTTAACATTTATTAACGACAGTGACTACATGCTACATTTTAAAATGTTTAATAGGAACATTGTCATGCTTAATAGTTTAGGACATGCAGTGTTCCTGAAAGAATAGTTTAAGAACAAATATGATTGGGCGAACCCTTTAACTCTTCATCTTATAAATTTAGATCATCTGAGCCAAAATGTCATATCTAGTGATAAAATTATAAACATTATATATTTGTTCATAATCATATTTATATGGTTTCTTTTCTTAATGCGTTGTAGGATATGGAGAGATAGAAGATCCGAGCCCAACCACAAGAGACATAATCCATGATGTCCAAAGAGTGAACTACTTAAGTAGTTACTTGAATTCCTTGGCCACAGCCATAAGGTATTATTACAATTGCACATCCAATTATGAACGACTCTATTTATTATATATGATCGAATTATCATTAAATTTTTTTTTCTTTTCTGCTAATTATAGTTTTGAAAGTAAAACTGTGAAATTAATAAATGATCAGGAAAGGAGCAGATGTGAGAGGGTATTTTGTATGGTCATTGTTGGACAACTTTGAGTGGAAATATGGATGCAGTGTGAGGTTTGGGCTTTATCATGTGCATTATATATGGCACTCTCAATAGAACCACAAGACTCTGCTTTACGGTACAAACACTTTATTGCTCAACATCAGCCTCCCAAATCTCCAACACTCTTCATTTTCTGACACCAATTTGAGATTTTACCAACTGGAGTTGGGTCTAACAAAAAGAATTAGTCTTCTATAATATGGTGAACTAAAGTTCGAATCCACGTTAGGAGAGGTACCTATATTTAGTGCCTGACAGTGTTTCGAATAGGATTGTTTCTAATAAGAGGGTACCAAAAAGAAGAACATGAGATTTTCTTGGAGCTTGTTTGTTTGGGGTCATTTTTAGTGGAAGAGGTGATTTGAATTGGTTGCAAATTTAATGAGTTTGATGTCGCGTCTTGTTTAGAGTTTTTCTGCGGAGAATTCTTAAAAAGTGAATCTGTACTTGGAAACACGATATTGTATCGTAACTTAATTATTGCTGAGTTTGCCAAGAGGTTTTTCAAGGAATTGTGCTCGTTTCGTTGAATTTTCAAGCCTATGATATGTATAGTTTTGATCATTTCTCTAGTTTTATAATTTCTAGACCTGTTATTTAATTATGATCTTATTTTGTTCCGTCTTGGATTTGATAAACTATGACTAATTTTGTTTATTGAATGAAGTTTCATTTTCAATGGACGGAAGAAAAATTTTAGTTAAGTTGGTTTATTTTATATGTTATCATTAGACTATGATATGTAACGAGCTTATTGTATATCACATCGATTTGTATTGTATGAGGAAAGCGATATTAATTTAATTTGCTATTGTGATAATCCACAAAAATGAACAGCTTCTGATTTTGACTTCAACAAGCAAAGGCCACAAGGGTGGTTTGAATTGAACTTGTCCATTTTGTCACATTTCTTTGTTTTTCTTTTTGAGGCGCCAAACATTGGACTTAATAAACAAATTGCTTAAAAGTTAGGTAGAGATCAATGAAACAACAATCAATCTAATCTAATTTGGTCATAATATTCTCAATTAGAAGAGTATTAGTATTATTAAAACGAAGATGAAGCAAGAGACAATGGCTTACTTCTGCCGGCCGGCTCAAGAATAATACTCCTCCGGTCCTTAATATAGGACCCAATTCTTGAGTTGGCTTTAGTCCTAAATATAAGACCCATTTCTTATATTTATCAATTTTCTCTAAATTATCCCTTTAGATACTCCCTCAACCATAATTAAGTAGAAGAAGGAGAGGGGGTATTAAGAAAGATAATTATGGTGTTTTAGGAAAAATGTGTCAATTTTCTTATAATTAACTAACTTACCTAACTTCCTTAATCTAATCAAATTAGTTAAATGTGTCTTATATTAAAGACCGGAGGAGTAGGTTGATTATGAAGAATGAAAAGGAAAAAGAAAAAGGGGGGGGGGGTAGCTGTCTAATGAAGTATTTCCCTTTATTCCCTTTCATTTCTCTTATTGATTTTGGATATTATAAAAGATTATATATTTATGAACCTAAAAACTATTTAATTTCTAATGGATTATTTATAATTACCTCTTCATAAAATTTTATATATAAATTCATATTAAAAAAATATAATTCAATGATGACGAGACTAATAAACAGATACATTTTCTTATATAAAGCTGGAAAATATAAAATGTAATCTTACATCTAATATAGATATTCACATAAAATATTTAAATTTATAAATAATTCTTTTGGATAAATAAAATTATTTTTAAAATAATAAAATACAGTCATGAAATAAAAATAATTTTTATAACGGGATAAACAAGAATTATTCATTGGCTTTATTGATGGATTGTGAGGTACTATCTCCGGTTCTAATTATAAGAGCTAGTTGACTAATTTGAGGAGATTAAGAAAGTAAGTTGAGTTGGTTATTTGTCTTAAATAGGTATTGTCTTTTCTAAAATATCTTTACTAATCAAGTGTATTGACTAGAACTATCATTACTAGAAGGGTTATTTTAAAAAAAAATATAAATATAAGAGATAAAGTGGATTGAAGTTTTATATTTATAACCAAAATAAAAATCAAGTCTTATATTAAGTAGCCGTAGTATTAGTAATACGATAAATCATATTACTTGTCCAATAATACGGTGAGGAGATAAGAACACAACTTATTTCTTGAAACAAGATAAAATTAAAGTTTTATTACCGAGTTAAATGACCGCCGCCGGGCAACTCGTTCAGACAATGCGCAGAGGTTTTCATCTGGTCAACTTGCGCTCCCATCCCAAACGGTGACAGCACAAACGTCAACAACTCCGGTTTGTGCAGGTTTCAGGCTTTCAGCTTCCTCTCCAAAAAGCTTCAACCCACTTTCTTTCTCTGTGGATTTCTTCTGGGTCCTAATGTTTCCAACTCGATAACGATGACTTGGGCATTGGGCTGGAAGAGGCCCTCAGAGATTTTCCATCTTGTGCTCAGCTATGGCTCTGAGAATCCCGCGAAATGCATTGACCGCACGACAACGTCATCCCGTTCGTCTGCTTCATCGTCATTGTCGTACTCCACTTCTTCAATTCTCTCGCAAAAACAAGAGATTGGGTTTCGTATTGAACTGGACTGGTCTGCGGCGGAGAATGAGGACCAGGTGGCTTTAAAGCTTCAATCGCAGCTAATGGTGGCTCTGCCCATGCCGCAGGACTGCGTGCTAGTCGAATTAAGGGCTGAAGATATTGAGCGTGTGATATTGGATATGAAAGTGATGAGGCGAAGAGACCCTTTAAGGGCTATAACAATGACCAAGACTGTTAACACTGGGCAACAGACTGATGGAGCTGGGGTTTTGACTCGTTTGCTGAGTTCAAATTTGGCTTCCTTAATGCCGGCTGTTGAAGAAGGGGTCCACGGTTGCGGTGATCATTGGAGGAGTGTGTCCCTGCTCAGTATTTGTGCCTGTGGCTTGTCGGTGAGTGTTACTGGGTTATGGAAGTTTTATGTTTTAGACGTTTATTGATGCCACCTACCTGCTGGATCCATTTTACGTTAGTAATATTAATCGATGAAAAATGTCTTTCCTTGTTTAAATCTTAGGCTTGAAGTTGAGGAGAAGATAGTTGCACTATTTGCAATCTGCTGGAGCAAAAGCACCTTCTTTTTTTTTTCCCTTTTAAATTTTCTGTTCATCAGAGACCTGAATGCTTTGTTTTTCCCCTTTGTTTTTGTTTTGAACCCAAAAAAAAAAGCGTTTACATGGTGGAGGATAGGGTGAATAAGTTCTGGCCATTTAATTCTTATGTTTGCTGATTGTTTGGGTGACATCAGGTGTAATTTCCAAAACTGATGTTATTTCATAGTGGTTTTGTTCGCCCCTTTGCTATATTTCTGCAGTAAAATATCTAAAATTAATATTTTGCAGTTATGTTTGCTTGTATTTATCCCCTAGGGCCAATGAATCATTTTGATTTCTGCTATTTAGTTGTGGGTCATACTTGATTAAGTTGAATGAGGCATATCTTTAGATGTCTCAGTTGCATGCAGGTACTCCCAGTTGAGCTGATTCAGCTGCCGCATCTGGAAAAGCTCTACCTCAATAACAACAGGCTATCAGTTTTGCCACCCGAGCTTGGTGAGCTGAGAAGCTTAAAAGTGCTTAGAGTTGACAATAACATGCTTTCATCAGTGCCTGGTAAGACTTTTGTCTCTGAATTACGATCTTAAAGTATATTATTAATCATTCTAATTTGTAGGTGTTGGAATTAATACATATAGTGCCTAGCTAGGATGTGAGTATAGTGCTTATGGTATATGTACCAGATAATGATTGTAATTAGTAGTATTGAATTCGTTGTCTTGCACTATTGAATTCTATGAATAATACTTGCTCCATTCCTAATTATATGACAAAATTATCTAATTCTCACATATGAATAAAACTAATTTAACTAATTTATGTCTTAAACTGGTTTCTGTTTTACCAGTTTTGGGCTTATTTAATTCTCAGTATTTTGTTAACTTCAAATGCTTTATACACTTATGAAGGGCATATTGGGAATTACTCCTCAAATTCTGTAATTTGTCTTATAAATAGGAATAACCACCACCAACAACAACAAGCGGTGGATTGTGTGCTGCCATTATACTCTAAAAATAATCAAACCTTTAGATAAATAGGAATGACTAACCCTCCAAAATTTTGTCCTATGATGAGGAGTATAGGGAGTATTACTTGTATGTCAATATTCAGTGGTTACATTTCCCATGAGAAATTTTCTTCTGTCAGTCATTCTTTTTCCTTTTCTGTTGACTGTGCCGTCATTCAAGTCATTATGCATACTCATTGACTAAACCATCTCAGGGATTTCCTTAGACAATGTTTGTTTACCTATCCTCAAAGCTCCATTGCCGTCAACCTGTCATATTAGAATCTCTATATTATCATTTTCAGGGATGTGTCCTGTCCAAACCTCCATAGGTGCTCTTTCCGTGTATGTTGCACAAAACGGAAATATTTTGCTATCTTATGTTCCTCTCTTGGATATTGGGTCCTTGATTCTACTGCCTCTCTTCTATCTTTATCTTCTTGGATGTCCTTATAATCTAATTTCTTTGATAACACTCAAATGTTCGCTTACATTTGTTGATAACTTTGATTTTACAAGATTGGGGTAGAGGGTGGACAATTGGCATCGGGTGTGAATGATATGATCTCTTTAATCTCACTAAGCCTACATCGCTGTTATCTGCACTTAGACCATCAGAATCAGACTCATCATTGCTTGAGGCATTGTAGTCTTGCTTCTTCTTTTTTTTCCCCCTTTTTAATGGTACTCTGGCATCTTCCTGCATTACATTATGAGTCTGTCAACTTGGGAGACAGTCCTGTTTCTTTTCGTGGCCAAGCAACAATATATCTGCACTTAGTTTGATTTATTGGTTAAATTAGGGTACAAGGGACAAATGGGCTTAACCCTCTAGCTGATTAATGATATAGCAAAATGTCGAAACAAAATATTAACAAATTCTAACAAAGCAATGGAATAAGACTAAAAAACCAAAAAAGGAAAAAAAGAAGGAGAAGAAGAAACAAGAGAAGTAGAATGTAAAAATCAATGCCGAACAGTAAGCAAAAAGCAGCCAGGCAATATGATTATATACAGGAGGTATACTTTGTACATTCTTGAAGAAGCATATGTATTGGACTATTGTTAAACTTGGCCAAGCCAAGGGGACTGTTAGAATTGATGTATAGTAACTAGGATGTGACCACTAGGCTAGAATGCGTTGGATGGCGTCTGTAGTTAGTAGTAGTCAATGACTTGGCTTGTACTATCAATACATCATTAATATATGATATGAAATATAGCATACCACACTACATAAGTCGTAAATAGTGAAGCTCATTTCTCAAGTTCTATACACTGCATGGGGAAACTTATCTAATCGTATTATAAATAACATGTTACACGTATCGCAAAATTCACTGGCTACATTTTCTACTAAGTATTTCTCTTAATCTCCCTCTCATTTCTCATAACTTGTGGAAATTGTAGTAATTTGTATCCTATATTAAGACTATTGGGTATATGAAAGAACATAAAATTGCCCCTAGAAACTGAGGTCATTCTATCTAAGTTCCTAGCAAGCATGCTCATTTATCTGATGTTTGTAGTCTTTTGAGCAGTGGAACTGAGACAATGTGATCAGCTGGTTGAATTGTCATTAGAGCACAACAAGCTTGTACGGCCTCTTCTTGACCTAAGGTTATTCTGTAAGACAATTTCATATTGATTTATTTATAATCTGGGTATTCTTCTCTTATTGTTAGTCTATGTCAATGACAGGGCTATGACTGAGTTGCGGGTTCTTAGGTTATTTGGAAATCCTCTTGAGTTTCTTCCGGAAATTTTGACTCTCCACAAACTTTGCCACCTTTCTCTCGCAAATGTTAGGATTGTAGCAGATGAAAATTTAAGATCGGTGAATGTGCAGATAGAGGTAGCATTGAACAAATTAACATGAGTACTTTTTGGCTCTATTCTTTTGAATCACAACCATTACTAAGTCGAATATGCTTTTTATTGTTGTCGCAGATGGAAAACAGTTCGTATTTTGTTGCATCTAGGCATAAGCTAAGTGCCTTCTTCTCTCTCATATTCCGCTTTTCCTTTTGTCATCACCCATTACTCGCTTCTGCACTTGCAAAAATAATGAGAGACCAAGGAAATAAAGCAGTTGTTGGTAAAGATGAGAATGCAGTGAGACAGCTTATAAGTATGATTAGTAGTGACAACCAACATGTGGTATGTTTGTCTTTCTAGAGTTCATAACAAACGCATTTGTATTCTTATACCTTTATTGTTTGTAATAGTCCTTATAAAATACAGGTTGAACGTGCCTGCTGTGCTCTTTCTGCTCTTTCCTCTGATGTTTCTGTCGCACTGCAGCTGGTGAAAGCTGACATCATGCAACCTATTGAAACAGTTCTTAAATCTTTATGTCGAGAAGAGGTAATATCTGTACTGAAACTCGTGGTGACGTTAGCTTTTACATCTGATGCTGTAGCTGAAAAGATGTTATCCAAGGATGTATTGAAATCATTGAAATTATTATGTGCCCATAAGGATCCAGAGGTAAGCATGCTAGTTTCTTCTCATAGATAATTGTTTGGTGGCATCCTTTTTATTGCTCTGTTCTTTCATTTCAAGGTTAATATTTATGTAGGTGCAACGGTTGGCTCTATTAGCTGTTGGAAATTTAGCCTTCTGCCTAGAGAATCGTCATATTCTTGTTACTTCTGAAAGTTTGCGGGAACTCCTCTTGCACCTGACTGTTGCAGCTGAACCATGTGTGAATAAAGCTGCTGCTCGTGCTTTGGCAATTCTTGGTTTGTCTCTTGAATAATTTGCCTGTGATCTCTTAGAATGTTTTGATCCTATTAGTTAGTTAATTGCTTCTGTGTTTTGTCCTTTTGTAGGAGAAAATGAAAACCTGCAGCGTGCAATCAGAGGCAGACAAGTTCCAAAGCAGGGACTTCGTATACTATCAATGGATGGAGGTGGGATGAAAGGTCTAGCTACCGTGCAGATTCTAAAGGAAATTGAAAAGGGAACTGGAAAGCGAATTCATGAGTTGTTTGATTTAATATGTGGCACATCAACAGGTGGAATGCTAGCTGTTGCCCTTGGGATTAAGTTGATGACTCTAGAAAAATGTGAAGATATATACAAAAATCTTGGTAGATACTGCTAAGGAATGACATGTGCTGTTTTTATTTATTGATTAATTTAACTAAACTGATTGAATGCTTCTCTTAAATCAGGGAAGATTGTTTTTGCTGAACCTGTGCCAAAAGACAGTGAAGCTGCATCTTGGAGGGAAAAGTTAGATCAACTTTATAAGAGTTCATCAAAGAACTTTAGAGTTGTTGTTCATGGATCAAAAGTATTTACCTCCTTTTTATGACGGTCCAATATCTTGCTATATTTTTTTATGGTAACAAACCATCCAACATTTGGTGCTTGACTAATCCCAATTCAAGTTAGGCCAAGTTTTTTCCCCCCTTTTCTTTGGGGGGTTTTTTGTTTTTTTGTTGGGGGGGGGGGGGGCCACTTGTAAATTGTATCAGGAACTTGGAGACTAAAGGGATTCTTAAGAGTATTAAATTTTATTTATTTACTTTTGCATGACATTTTAAGTTTGAAAATGAGAATGCAGAATGTGTTGTTTTATTTAAGACTAGAAGCTATTTCTACAGTTGTGCCTATGCATTTTATGCCCTAAAAGGAGACATTATAATCTATTGCAGCACAGTGCGGATCAGTTTGAGAGGTTATTGAGGGAAATGTGTACTGATGAGGATGGGGATTTAATGATCGATTCAGCTGTGAAAAACGTGCCCAAAGTTTTTATTGCATCAACCTTGGTAAGCGTGACACCAGCACAGCCATTCGTATTCCGCAACTATCAGGTGTGAGGTCCAGAACTTTTTTTGTTGTTTATATGTAGTTTTAATGTTGTCAAATAGATGGAAAATCTCTCTCATCACCTTTTTTTGATGGAAAATGCAGTACCCCGCTGGGACACCTGAGGTGTCTCTTGTGAACTCAGAAAGCTCAGTTATCTCTGAATTATCATCTCCTACAATAGGTGCCCAAGTTGGCAATAAGCGGAGTGCTTTCTTTGGAAGTTGTAAGCATCAATTGTGGCAGGCTATTAGAGCATCATCTGCTGCTCCATATTATCTTGATGATTTTTCAGATGGTACTGCTTTTCCAAATATTGTTGTCCTTGGGTTAATTGTAGTTGAGTTTTCATGTTTTATATTCTATCACGTTCTTGACATTTATATGTTTTCACACTCGTTCCTCCAACATTTCATAAGATGTCAACCGCTGGCAAGATGGTGCGAATAGTGGCAAACAATCCTACAATTTTTGCCATAAGGGAAGCACAACTTCTTTGGCCTGACACAAAAATCGACTGCCTAGTTTCAATAGGGTGCGGTTCAGTTCCAACAAGGGTATCTGCTCTTCTTTATTTGTTTATTTTCCAGGGAAAAAGGCTTTCATATGTGCTAGTTAGATAAGTTGAAAGTAATCACAACTGACAAAATTTTATTCCTGGATGATGATGATGATCTTTCTTTGTTACTCTTATTTAAAACACACTTCTTTAGTTATGTCGATGTGTAAAAATACAAGTCTATAATCATTTGTATTACCATGAAATCTAATGATTGATACTAGTCTAGATTTGAGAAAATTAGCCATTGTCCACTGAACTTATTAAATTATTATATATTTGTGCTGCTGTAGATGCGAAAAGGGGGATGGCGCTATTTAGATACAGGACAAGTGTTGATTGAGAGTGCATGCTCCGTTGATAGGGTAGATGAAGCTTTGACTACATTACTACCTATGCTTCCTGAGATGCAGTATTTTCGTTTCAATCCAGGTACAAAGCTTGAGTTTGGAATGTGGGCATCAAAACTTGTTTTTTCTCTCTCCTCAAAGAGCATACATTCTTGGAATGAACTCTAAGTCTAGTGAGTTTTTTTTCCTTTGGTTGGCCTTGCAGCTGATGAACGTTGTGATATGGAACTTGACGAGACAGATCCAACTATCTGGCTGAAGTTGGAATCTGCAGTTGATGAATATATTCAAAAGAACCATCAGGCACTTGAAAGTGTCTGTGAGAAATTGCTTCTGCCTTTCCAACATGAAGAGAACTGGTTAGAGAATATAAAATATAAACAACCAAAGACAAAGGATTCAATTGAGGGTATTGTTTATGATATGCAGTCTGTTTGCCACCTGTAGATTTTCCACTTCTGGCAATCCCAATTTAATACTGTTACATCTTTTCCATTTTGCTTCGCCAGGTGCCAGTGGACCCACATTAGGGTGGAGGCGTAATGTACTACTTGTTGAAGCTTCACATAATCCAGATTCTGGAAGAGAGATCCGCCATGCCCAAGCACTTGACTCATTTTGTGCTCACAATGGAATACGGTTATCCCGTATGCAGGGTTTATCCAGAACTGTAAAGGCTGTTCCTGCGACGGCATTTCCAACTCCAGTTGCATCACCTATGTTTACAGGAAGCTTCCCATCAACTCCACATGTCTATAGTCCTGATTTTGGTCAGAGGATTGGTCGAATTGATCTCATCCCACCTCTAAGTTTAGACGCACAATTGGGAAAAACTACTGCATCACCTCCAGTCTCTCCTCGAGGACTTAGACAACTACCATTGCCTGTCCAATTGTTGCATGAGAAATTACAGAATTCACCACAAGTTGGTGTCATTCATTTGGCTCTTCAGAATGACTTGGATGGCTTAATCATGAGGTACTTGCTCTTATATTTTCTGAATTCAATCAGCTATCTCTTTTTCCTTTTCTGTGTGATGGGGGCATGATGTTTATGGCTATTCATTAGTTGGCACAATGATGTGTTTGTGGTGGCTGAGCTGGGGGAGCTTGCTGAGAAATTTCTACAAAGTGTTAAAGTTAGTTTATTGTCATCAATGAAGAGCCGTCGCAGAAAGTGTGCATCTCTGCTTGCCAATATTTCTACTGTTTCTGAGTTGGTTGCTGCTAAACCTTATTTCCAAATTGGTGGCATTCTTCACCGATTTGTTGGCCGTCAAACCCTAGTATGTCTCCTTTTGCTAATGGTGTTTTATTAGTTTAAATTGATTCATTGTTTGATGTTTGACATATTTATGAGAACTTGACTTTTGGTGATCTGAAGGTTATGGAGGATGACTATGAAGTTGGATCGTATTTATTCCGTAGGACTGTACCTTCTTTGCACTTGACACCTGATGATGTTCGACAGATGGTATACTCCAATGTTTTTTTTTTTTTTTAAATTTATTTATTTTCCCTCCATAAGTCGATTTTTTTTAGGTTTGTCACTATTTATATCTGTCCAATTTTTTAGGTCTTAAAATTTTTTAATGAGGTGAGATGTTAATCATTTGGTTCTTTAGGAGTCACTTTAATACAGTGCCAAAAAGCATCACAAGAGTATCTGGATTTTTTTTTTTTTTGTTGCATTTGGTCACACTAATCTCAATCATTTGTGCCTTAATCTATATCATCAACTTGATACATTCTTAAGGAATTTTTCACTTATAAGTTCAAATGCTACCCCTCCCGTGAACCTAGCTTTGGCTAATGATGTAAATGTTCTGGACTGTTTGGGTAAAACTGCTGAGTTTTTACATCAAAGCTAGAGAATAATAGCCCTTTGGTCTGAATAAGAACTTTAACGATTGACTCTTACGGTGCAAAAGGCTTTTGATACCATTCCAACTCATGGTTTCCTTTTTTAAAGGTTTTTGAAGCAATAAAAGTAGTTAGCATGAGTTAAAAGCTCAAACTTTCATTCCCTCATGCACGGAAAATATATGGTAACAGAGTAGTTCGTGTTGTATGATGTCTATTCGGTACCACTACAATTTCCCTGGTTAGGTAGAGAGAACAGATTATTACTAGTAGTTTGAAACATACTGTATCCCCATGCAAATGCTTGATTGAATTTCCTTTACTCTTCTTGTTGATGTCTTGAATGACTCAGGTTGGAGCATGGAGAGACAGGATCATTATATGCACTGGTTTACATGGACCCAGTGCAGCTCTGATCAAGGCCTTTCTAGACTCTGGTGCCAAAGCTGTCGTATGTTCTTCGAATGAACCCCCAGAACCTCTGTTAACCCATTTTGATGGTTCTCGGGAGATGAATGCATTGGAAAATGGAAAATTTGAAATTGGAGAGGATGAAATGGAAGATGAGCATGAACTTGAGAGTCCATCAAGTGACTGGGAAGATAGCGATGCTGAAAAACTTGAGGAACAAACTACGTACATTTATGATGATAACGAGGAGGAACTGTCACAATTTGTCTGTCAACTGTATGAATCATTATTCCGTGAGGGTGCTGGTATCAAGGTTGCTCTGGAGCAGGCTCTCGCCTCACACCGAAGGTTGGGGTACGTGTGCCATCTCTCGAGCATATAATGATTTGTTCCCTTACGCTTAAAAGTACACACATATACACTGAACATATTCTTATAGAGGTACAGTGGATGTCTAATTTTGAGGCATGAAATGACGTACATAAGGAATGTAAAGTAGTCTCTTATTTCTTTTTAAACCTTAACATTGATCGATTATGGCTTTGTAATATAACATTGTCAATCTTGTAACTCTCTGGAAGCCTAGACTCTGCCTTGCCCATATTGTTCAATTGACAAGAACATGGGAGGCCTGGCCTTGTACTGTCTCTTGAAGACGATTATTCTTTTATGCATATAATTAGTTACTTTGGCCGCTCCTTGAAATTTCACCAACTACGTAGATGAACCAAAACTTCACATGCTGCGTGGGAAAATGATCTCTGATATGCACGAGTCTCATCCTTTGAAGTGTGGTTGGAATCACTCAACATCTTTATCACTTGAAGGTATCGATGAAATTTGGGAGGTTAAATTTTCGCACAGGTCAAAAGGGAACTACTATGTCTGTGGATTGTCGGGTAGTATTCTCTTGTGATCTTGCTATTTTTAATAGAATGTGTGCTTATATGGAGTCTTTGCGTTTGCAATATCAAGTTAAAGATAATAGGTCGACAGCTCCCAGCCTACTTTTTGGTCATGAAGAAACAAAATATACAACATTACATAGACCAGCAAATACAACATTGTAATGGCGGGTATGACAGGTGTCCGATAAGAAAAGTTGATATCCAAAGAGGCAGCACATCTCCCCACCTCAAGTGTTTAAAGCATCTGTGAGGATTTATTTTCATTGACTGTAGAGTACTGCCATAATCTGGCTGACTGGATGGCAAATCTTTTTAAAAAAGCAAAAGAAAACTACCAAACAAAATCTGATTGTACCCAAGAAAAAGAGAAAGATTTGCTCACAAACACCATATAAGAGAATGGGGACAAAATGAACTAGCTCATAGCAATGTGCTCCCCATATTTTTTAGTATGTAGGAGATGTCTACTATCAAGCAAGGAAGTACCAAAACTAGGAAAATCTCCATTTATATGATGACTTGTGAGTATGTCTGAGCAGCGACTTTGCACAGGAATTTGTTTCTTCGAACACATAACGAGATCTGACTAACCAATATCATATGATAATGCTTCTTATCCCATTGATGGTATTCGTAAGAGGATATTGCCCAAAATTCTCCTTGAACTTTTGCAGTCGGTATTTTCTTTTCTTTTCTATTTTTTCCATTCCTTATCATGCATCCATGGCATGATGACATCCAACACTAGCTGATGTGGCTGAAAGAGGGAACATGTGGAAGAAGAATTGGTGCTAACTGGATTAAACGGCTTCAAAAAAGTGTGTTGTTAGTCTCAGACGCTGCCAAAGAAGTTTGAATTCAAAGTTGGGATGAAGTTCGAGTTCAATCATCAATGTTGCAACTTTTTGTAACTCACTGAATACAATCAATGCCAATTTATCCTCCTTGCGTTCCCTCTCTCGGCCACATCAACTACTGTTAGATGCTGTCATGGATGTGCCATGACTTGATAGGGGCTAATTTACTAACAGTATGAAAGTTTAGGGAGTAATCACAGAAATGAAGTTCAATGATCAAGTTACAAATTGGTGTATAGTTTAATGAATAAACGATTAATTCTCCCATTATGGAGATGCTCATGAGAAAACAAAGTTCAAAAACTAAAAAAGACAAAAACGAAAAGAAATAAAAGGGAACATGGAAGACTTGCAATAGATAATAGACAAGAGGAAAGAAGCAAACCATGATATGGCCATGTCCAGAAAATAAGCAAAATTTCCATTGAAAATCAACAGGAAAATGAGGTGTTCCCAATCGGAAATCAAATTTTGACCTATGACTCAAACTTTTTTCATCTATAATGCTCCTTCATACCTTTCATCTCAACAGCTAACTATTACACTAGAAAAGTAGAGTTATTGCTTCCAAATTACAAGATAATATGGCTGCTTCTCCAGTTCCTGTTTCTACAGGCACAAGGATAGCGTTGGATCTCTATTGAAGGGGAAAAAAAATTAAGTACTTCACCAAGTTTGAGTTAGAAGGGAAAGGAAGTTCTCAAAAAGTTCGGCAACACATTGTAGTCACAATTTCTTGCAAAGCCTATTCCAAACCCAATTTCTGGGTCTCGATTCTTGATTATGACTTGGAAGAGGAAGACGAGAAGATGCAGAGCTGCAGAAAACAATAATCAATTAAATAGAATTCCTGGACTATAATGCAAATGTTTATCTAGGTTAATTAGATTTTTGGTTTTGGTATCACAACAATCAGGTAGTGTTTGGTACAATTTGCACGCCGTTCAACTGATCTACCTCTCTAATCTGGTGAAAGGCAAGTCATCGATGCCAAAAGTAAGGGGATCACGAAAAAATCCCGTGACCTAGCCCTGAGAAATTGACAACTAAGATTTAAACGTGAGTATATGCCTCATCACACATCACATACTTGTTTTCACCATTCAACCAGCCCACGATTTTCTCATGTCAATCTGCACTGACCGATTCATGCAGCATATTTGTGTGTGTGTGTGTGTATTTAAGATTGCACTGCCAGAGTAGGACAATTTCTCATTTTGAAGTTCAAATTGTCAAGCAGTCTGGCGACTCTTTCTGCATTTAGCATCATAGCAGTAAGAGTGTGCGTGTTCTCTCAGATCTAACGCTCTTCTGCAGCTATCGGCAAAAGAGCTCATTTATGGAAGTGTTTGGATATCCTGAAAAGTGCTTCTCAAACCATGGTTTGGTTTTCATCAGAAGCACTTTTTCGCAAATCGAAATAAACTCCTCCACACATTTACTTTGTAGACCATAAAATCACTTCTAAAACCATGTTTAGTTTTCATCCAAACACCCCCTATATTTATCAACGGCTTTGCATTCTACTTAAATTTAAAAGGTGAAACAAAAGCATTAGAAAATACAGGGAAAAACGAGAAATAAGATTAAATATGGGGAATCTCACTCATCGAACGAGTAATAAGATATGATTTCAAAAATATTTAGTACTCATAATGTGGGCTATTTATCTAGGTGATGTTATGTGTTATCTTGATTATAATGGTACCTAATAGTAACCCTAACAATCGCATACGACAAAATTTAAAATTAAGTAGTCATTTTTGTACTGCAAATTTTAGTACTAGTCGCTGATGTGAAATATGTACCTCTGGTGTGTGGTAACAGCGTAATTTTGCGATGAACTCCAGTTTTTGGCGATGACTCTGCACCTGTTGGTCTTACAGTGCGCAAAAAATGATTCAATGTGGCCAGCAGTTCTGACTGTGGATCCAGCTGTTGTCTATGATTCTATTCTGTATCTTTCGGCTTTGATAGAAGTTCAAGAGCTTCCACAACCTCACCCATTGAAGGTCTTGCCTCAGCTTCTTCTTGCAAACACATTGCTGCCACTGCAAGTGCTTGAAATAGACTCTTCTCAGGGTAGTTGCCGTCAAGCAAGGGGTCAGCCATTAGAGTAAACTTGCTTCTGTCCTTAAACAGTGGTTGTGCCTGCAAAAACCAAAACAAAAAGAAAACCATCAGTGCCTTATTTGAAGATTAATGTTCAAACCACAAAACTTTAGAGGAAGTCGAGACACTGACATAAGGTCATTAAAAAGCCATTTTGTGTTTCATGTTTAACCCATGTTAGGCCCATAACAGCTCTTCGTTGGAGTGAAACTGATTCATCAGCTGTTGAAAGGAAGAAAAATGGCAACATACCCATTGAATCAGGTTCTGCTCGTCTGCTGCTTTTGTAACGTCAATAACTCTTCTGCCAGAGATTATCTCCAAAAGCACAACCCCAAAGCTATAAACATCAGACTTGCTCGTCAGCTGCCCGGTGGCAGCATACTCTGGTGCACAATAGCCATAGGTTCCCATGACCCTCGTGGTGATATAAAGTTGGCCTTGTGTTGGACCCATCTTGGCCATACCAAAATCAGAAAGCCTGGGATTGAAGTCGCTATCTAACAATATATTTGATGCTTTAAAATCGCGGTATATTACTTTTGGCTCAGCAATTTCATGTAGATACTCAAGCCCTCTTGCAGCTCCCTCAGCTATTTTCAACCTCATGTCCCAAGATAAAGGCGCCTTATTTGGAGCCAAGTCTGAGACAGAAAACATTAAGTAAAAGAGCTTCTGGCTATCACAACAATTCAAAAGCTGCTAATGAAAACACGTAAATAATATTACTTTATTATGATCTCTTAATCTTATGCGTCTTCTTACCTAGAAGGTGATCTTCTAGACTCCCATTGGGCATGTACTCGTAGGTCAAAATCCTGTGGTCGTCTTCAACACAATAACCTATCAAATTGACAAGGTTGGGATGCTTCAACAAGCTTAACATCAAAACCTCTGAAATAAATTCTCTAGTTCCTTGCCTTCCTTGTCTGTCCAGCTGCTTCACAGCCACAACCTGGAAGCCAAACGAGGAACCCGAGATGAATCTAACATGCAGGAAACTCTAGCAGAAAACGAAAACCTCTGTTAAGAAATAGAGATAGAAAGAGACTTGATCAATGCTTTCTATGCGTCCTTTGTAGACCACCCCGAATCCCCCCTCGCCTATTCTGTGTTCATCGCTGAAACCGTCAGTTGCATCACCGAGTTCTTTGTATGTGAAAACTGTAGCTTCATTTTGTACAGTTCCGTGTTTTTGTATCTCTGCAGTTATCCTTCTCTGCCTGCTGCTACCTGCAGTTACGTAAAATTCAATCAATCACCAGCATTACCCATTAGAACCGTTGAGCACAGGTTCAAATATGCAAACTAAATTCTTATGGATTTTTCATGAGCCCGTTGAAGAAATCAAGTTCTTATCGATTGCTCGAAATTGTCGAAAACTTTCTTTTAAGTTACCAGGAATGATCACTCAAAATCCGGGAGATCAATGACAGAAAAACGAATGAAAAGCTAACCTGCCTCTTGTGCATCAATTTCGAACGATAATTTAATTAAGGAACAGAGCGAAATTATCAATCAAATTCTGCACAATATTAACCTACAATAAAAGGTTAACAATTCAAATATGAGGCATCAATTGATTGACGCACCAGTCTTGAGTGAAATATTTGAAACAATTGATTTCAACGTATAGGATTTCAATTCTGTCCTGCGTTTTGAAACTTCTGTTGGACCATCTGCATCGACGACTTTCTCTGACGGGGTAAGGCAACAGGAAAAGCAGCCCATTTTTCCTCTTCAAATCCGCTTAAACAAACCCAGTTGATGAAGTTTTTAACAATAATAATAATAACAACAACAACAGTTATTATTATTGTTATTATTATTATCATCAAGAACTTTCACTGAGCGAAACCCAGAACTTGATAGATCAACACATGGGTATCAAACAGATAGATCTAATAACTCCTATGATCATGACAAACTTAAATGGCATTTGTGTGGGGAAACGTGATCCACCCAAGTTTAGTATGGGTTCATTTTAAAGAAAGTTGCTGGAAATGGATTGACTATCATTTCCATCTCTAATAACTTGGTTAATTTCAGCTGCTTCTTTATCCATCATTTCCAATTTCCATTTCCAAGACGAGGCTTTAAATAAATTAGGCATAACACGTGATTAAACACACTTTTAGACGCTACAATTTAACGATAAATATAAAATTTACATAAACAATTCTCTCAGAGGGAAAAAAATTTTGTTTGTTGCAAATGTGTAACATTTAGAAGGCAGGATCCCTTCCTTTAACACGCCTCCAAAAAATGGATGGGATATTTTTGGTTTCACAGTAATATTTGAATTCTAACCATTACTTACCTTTTACTCTATAATTTAGAAACAGTTTTATTTTTTGAGAAGTGTCAATGTTAAGAAAAGAGACTTCAGACATTCCTTTATGTCATTCATGCTATCTCTTGTTTCTAATATAAAAATTAATTTGATATTAATTTAATTTTAAATATAAAATTACAATCTATTTTATTTTTTATATTTATTTTTTTAAAAATAATCTTATTCTTATAATAGTTACACATATTTAAAATTTCAATAGTTTTAATGAAGATATTTTTAAAAAAATAAAAACATATTTAATATAAATAACGAACTTAACTAATTTTTTTAAATTAATCAATTAAATCTTATCATAAAGATCATAAGTAGTACTACCTCTGTTCCTTAATATAAGAGCAAGTTAACTAATTTGAATAGATTAAAAAAGTTTGTTAACAAGTTAGTTATTTGTAATAATTAGGTGTTCATCTTTTCTAAAATACTCTTGCTAATCATATATTAGCTAAAATTACCATTTGATTGAATTTTTTAACATGTACAACTACTGTAAGGATTACTTTTAAAAAAATAAATAAATATGAGAAACAAAGTGAAATAAGGTCTTATATTTAGGACCAAATTAAAAATCAAATCAACTCTTATATTAAGGACCGGAAGTAGTATTATTTTCCCCCTCAACATGATACATTATTATTGCAGAGAATTACGATCCACTTGAAGAGTGGACATTAGAGAGCAAGGGATCATCAAGATTGGCCATGGCAAACTAAACATACACATTATTGTTGCTGACACTTCACATAGTAAATTTTCCTCGTGACATTCATCATTTGAAAATGATCATTCCTGGACAATGAGAAAACCATCAGACTACACAAGATTACAAGATAGCCTCTCAAAAGCAGCTTTGGCTCCTTCACAGCTCAAAATTATAGATTCCTTTGAAGATAAAAAGGCAAGAGAACATAAAAACTGCCAAGCTTGCTGGCAATAGGATGGCCAAGATGCTGAATAGACTAGAAAGGGGGCTTGACATTATAAAGGTGAGCCCTGATAATAACTCATACTCTACTAGTAAGCACTCGATCCAACAACACAGCAAAGCTAGCTCAGAATCAATGAAACCAAGATGTTGTTGTGATCTTCTCATTTGTCTACCATAAGTAAAGCATGAGTATCACTGTGTCAGGCATTGGCAATCCAGAGTTTTATCATGGTAAGATTGTTAAGTACCAGCATTCCTATGCATATTCATAATTCGGTCAATCCACCTAATAATTTTTCATGAGTCGATCAATATAGACAGGACATGAATGGACGTGATGAGAGGACACGAGTTTTCTGGGTTCCATCTGACTGAGTTTACAGTCATCCCTACGAAGGCAACTTAGCTTCAATTTCATCCCATTGTGCATTGTTTATCTTGAACTTCTGCTTGATATGCTTGATAAGAAACTTAGCATCATCAAACTTGGAAATGCTTATTAAACCATTCGCAAGTCTTGTCATTACTGAGTAAGGTGGAATCCAACCATGCTTAATACATCTCTTGGTAGCCCAAAACGCTTTCACAAAATGCTCACCTTCGCACAGGAAGGTAATCAGAGTAAAGTGACAGGTAGCAGTGGGTTTCATGCCTTTTGTTCGCATGTCACCGAACAATTTTATTGCTTTATTAAACCTCCCTTCTTTACAGAACCCATGAATCAAATGGCAGTAAGTAGCTGTATTTGGCTGCACACCCCTGGACATCATGCCACCGAGCAACGCCTTCGCTTCCGACGACTTCTTCATTTTACATAAGCTCTGAATCCTAATGTTGTAGGTGGTAAGACCTGGTTTAATGCCATACTGAACCATCAGTTGCAACACCTTCCCTACATCTTCCAACTTTTCTTCATTGTAAAATCCAGCAAGCAAATTCCCAAAAGTAGCCTCATCAGGCTTTACGCCTTTTCTATCCATCTCAGTTAGTATCGAATATGCAGAACTAGACTTACCCGCAATGCAAAACGCCTTGATTCCCATATTATACGTTTCAAGGTTGGGTTCTATTCCATATGTTTTTGGGAATTCACAGAAAATTCGACACAACTCATCGTAATTCTTAGCCATTTGACAAGCAACAAGCAAAGCATACAACGATTTAACGGAACGAGTAATACCCAACTGATCAAGTTGCTTGAAAGTGAGAATGGCATCTTCAAGCATGTTGGCTTGACCATACCATATTATAACGTGGCACGCGAAACCGTCGTTCTCATTAAAGTCCGGCCGGGTCTTCAATTCCTCAAGCAATTGACGAATACTCTCGAACTGTTTGGCTGCCGTGAGCTTGGAAACGGTAATGGAGAAACAAATGCGATCAATATAAGCCTCAGGGTTGAGCGAAGCGGAGCGGCAAATCTCGAGTATCCGCTCTGGATTCTCCTCGGCCTTGAGACGGGCGAGAACCGGCCTGGATTCCACCCTCGAGGAAGGAGAAAAGGGACCAGGCCATGTACTCTGGCCAGTGCCAGCCTCAGATGAATTCGCAGTTGATGCGATTGTGCAGTAAAAGCGATAGCGATACGCTTGGCGAAATCGAGAAGCCAAAAACATGGTCGCAGCTGGGAAGGGGAATCTAGGGCCTCCGCCAAAGAAAATGGAGAGAAGTGCTAGTATGAGGGCGCGACGAGTGATCCACCGGTGAGTCTCTCACTCAGAACCGCAATCTGCTTCAGTTTAACTTCATGCGATGCAACGCTGCGTTTTGATGGGGAAACGTCTCAAAAGAGACGGATTTTATGGGGATTTGAACCCGACGTGAATCGAACACGCAACCTTCTGATCTGGAGTCAGACGCGCTACCATTGCGCCACGGATCCGCTTGGTGGTGGGACTGCAGTTTTACTACATACAAAATTTAAATTTGAGTTTAAGCAAATCTCCCTAACAATGATTCAAGGACATTAACCCAAAAAAAATTTTTTTTTGTAAATGCTAAACAAAGAATGTTGACAAAAATTTATTGTCATTTGTAAATTCAGATGTGTCGATATTAAATAAAATTGTGTTACTAAATCTGATTTGTAATTTTCAACTTCCTTTTCTATCATTCTCCTAAGGATTTATTTTAAACTATTTTATAGCCCAAAAAAATTATTGTGATTATCTTTTCAAAGTTATGAATAGAATGAAAATTATTATACAATCCCACATAATAATTCAACCACTAAAAAGTCTTATACTTATGAACAGTATTCTGATGCAAAAAATCATAACACATACCCATCACTTGTTTTGAGATTTTTAATTATTATTTATGTGGAATTACATGAAAATTTTTCCAATTTATAATTAGGTTGTCTCAGGTGTGAATTTTTTTTCGAAGTTAAATTCCATGGGCTTTGGCTGTAAGCTTTCCCTCGTGAAACATTTTTTTTTTATGATTCTAAGGCTTTTTTATTTTTAATATAAACTGAAAAGCAGTACTAAAACCAGCAAGACTGCAACAAGAAACTCTTAGTGGCCTTCATCAGATTCTTCTCTAAATTAAAAATTGGTTTAATATAATTTTTGCTTTCTAAAATTTGGATCATTTTAATTTTTCGTCTCTCAAATTTTAAACTTGTGGTTTTAGTCTCTAGAATTTAAGCTGTCTTAAAATATTAGTTTCTAAATAAGTAACAATGTTAAAATCTACTTAAGTGTTATAAACGGTTTAATGATGATATGAACTCATCAAATGATACTTAGATGGATCTTGTGTGCATAGCCCAAAAAAAAACGAAGAACAGATTTTTAAAATGCAACGCAAAGAACGATTTATATAGAGAAGGTGAATTCTCAAAGCACAATATAGTTAACAAGCCCTTAAATGAACAGTAAGAAAAAGGAAGGGCTAAACAATTACGTTCTAAGGATATGTTTTTTTTTCCTTTTTGTTATTTACACAAGATTCAACTATATGCCATTCAGCGAGTTTACATCGCTATTTTAATACCAACTTGATCTTGTTGCACCGGGCAACAAACATGTATGAACCATTTTACGAAGTATGTGTCCAAATAACCCAAAATCTTGATAATTAGCTCTCAATTATCATTTTTAATCAATGTATAATGATATTTAATGAATAATTCAATTATTATAAAGAGACAACCACTGCACCTTCTTATTATGAGTCTGACTCACCACACGTTTTAAATTCTATTTAACCCATTCCCACTCCTTGTACAGCAGAAAAACCATTTCACACTGCAGGAGAAAATCGTAGATCTCCATCAATTAATGGCATCTAAATAATCTCTAATTAAGTGCATTAAGTCTTCATCTTATTTGCACCCCGGAGGAAAGCTACCCAATGTTTCAAGGCCTCTTCTCACTTTCAACTCCCATGCGTGTGCTCTTCAGTGGGAGAATAATCACATAATTTTTTTAAAAAAAAATTGGGTGAAAATCCCCTTCTAACAAATTAATTGGGAAATGACACATATAATAAATATAAAGGTTTGAAACCTTTAAATGTCAAAAAAAATATTATTAAAAAAAAGACGACATTACCCTGATGAATGCTAATTATATATCAATTATTCTTACTTACATATGACTAATTGCATATGATAGATATTTACTTGCATATGATGGATGCTTGCTTGTATATGTAATTAGCATCAATATTACATAATAACATAGAAACTCATATGGAAGTAAACATCCATCACATGCAAGTAAGGATTTGTACATGCAATTAACATCCGTATTACACAATAACATGCAATAAAAACTCATATGCTAGTGGTCATCTATTAGGTGTAAGAGAAGATTCGTCATCTGCAGTTAGCATTGATAGCATGCAATAACATACAATAGGAATCCATATAAAAGTAGGGATACATCATATACAAGTAAGCATCCATAATATGTAATTAGCAATTGTATTATGTAACAAACCTATATATAAGCAGGCATCAATCATGTGCAAGTGAGATTTGTCATATGCAATTGGTCATATGCAAGTGAAAACTTGTCATATACAAATTAACATTCGTATTATGCAATAAACTTATATACAAGTAGGCATCCATCATATTTGTGTCATAAACAAGTGACAATCTATTACCTGCAATTAGCATCCATATTATATAATGAAACTATACGTAAGTAAGCATCCATTATATGCAATTATTCATATGTAAGTAGGTATTCATGATATGCAAGTAATGATTAGTTATATACAATTAACATTCGTAAAAGCAATGTGGTTTTTTTTTTTAGGGCCTCACGTTTTTATATTTTTTGTAGGTCTCATTCTCCGATTAGTTTGTCAGATCGAAATTTTTAACCAATTCCCCCGAGACTAAACACTTCTAGAAAATCTTCTGGACACTATCTACTTATTTGTTTGTGAGTAATTGCAAGATGAAAATGCTCGGGAGAATTTGGGAACAAAATCTCGTGGGAATACCTCATTTAGAACTACCCTTCTATTTTTACATGTAATCATCCTTAATTATTAATCTCAATTTAATGAATGGCATAATTAAAATAATATATTCAACGCTCTAGATAGCTTCGCTTTATTTGTTTATACTTTTAAATTAAAATGAATTTAATAAAATTCTCTTATATATTCACCAAACTTAGGTGATAATTAGATAGTAATATAATAATTAACTAAAAGGAAGCTTGACACTGCCGCGCGATTATTCGCTGGAGCTGTCATTCTCTGCCGCCAAATTACCAACTACCAAGCGGCGAGGAGGCATAACTCCGTAATCACGTGCGCCTGGCCATCTAAAACTTCACCGGCAAAAATCAAAGTGCTGCCTGAGAGAGAGGCCAAAAATATTTTTAAAAAGTATTTTCATGTAAGTTTAAATTAATGCAAAATTTCTTTTATATATTTATTTTAAATTTAGTAAAATTGTATTCCAAACTACAGTAACACCCCCAAGCTTCAAATATGATCCTTTTGTACTTTTTCAGTAATCCTATGAAATTAATAGTAAGATCACTTACATTAATAACATATTTACAACTTATTTCGAACTATTTACATTTAATATCTACAAATATTTTCAGGTAAGTTGGAAAAAAAATTCTTCATATAATTTATAAATTAAGATTTAAATGTTACTTTTTTTTATTCAAATGAGCACTTAGTTCTTTTTTTTAAAATAATTTTTTAATAATTAAAATTTGTCCCCATACTTGTAAAACAACACAAAACAATAATCTAAAGTACTGTCCAACACACATGTTAACATTTTAACTGTAATTGCGGCTTTTTCCAATTTTTATGATTATATTTACGCTTAAGACAAAAAGAAATTTTTGGTTAGGGGGAGAGAGAGAGACACTAAAAATCGCATGACTGATTGGTGAACATACCGACTCCTGTTAGGGTTTTGCCGAAACTACTCACGTCATATTATTATTCAATGTAGTATGTATATTATATTCGAGCATATCCTAGTTTGAAAAAAAACGATTCTTAATATAAGATCTTGTTTAATTTTATTTTGATCCTAAATATAAGACTTTAATCTATTTTGTCTCTTATATTTATGTATTTTTTTTCAATATAGTCTTTCTAACAATAATAGTTTTAACTAATACACTTGATTGGTAAGGATATTTTAGGAAAGACAACACCTATTTATTACAAATAACTAACTTAACTTATTTTCTTAATTTTTTTAAATTAGTCAATTAGTTCTTATAAATAGGACTGGAAGTAGTATTATATTCGAGCATATGAACATTTTTCAGACCTATGTGGCTTTGCCACATTTTTACACTCACTCCCGTTTGATACAAAACATTATAAATGAAGAGTAGAGATTAAAATTAAAATTGAAAAAATTTATTAAAAAAATATTTAACATAAGAAATTGTTTGTTACATAGAACTAAACAAACTCATATATGTAGAATTGAAGAATATTATAAGAGGAGATTGTACTTCCTAATCTCGCCTTTATGAATTTGTCTAATTCTACATAACAAGCAATTAATCATACTAAATATATTTTTAATAACTTTTTTTAATTACAATTCTTAGATTATTTTTTATTTTTAATGTTTCGTATTAAGTACACGCAATCTTAGAATACACCGTAAAGTCTTTAACCCAATTAATGTGGGTTTTTAAAATATACGTCATGTGGGCCCATTTATCTCATATCTTTTTCTCTCTCTGTTTTTTTTTTTATAGTGTTATCGCATTATAAAAGATTAGGAGTCATAATGATAATGATAAAACATGAAACAATGGTACAGAGTGTTCTATAAAAGGTTATAGTTATCTCCTTGTCCGTTTTCTTTTATTTTTTAGGGAAAAAAATTATTGTTTAGTCTAAAATTTAAACAAAAAAAAACTGCCAGATCTTCTTATTATACAGTTATGATATTTAAGAAAAATATTTAGCATGAATTTGTAAAATAAAAAATATAAAATTTTGAAATATATGCAATCAACTTTATTTTTTTCTCTTACTTTCTGAGTTTAACAGGAGTTTTATTTAGAGGGACTTGTCATCCTCTTAAACCGTGGAAGTCAATGAACATCTACTTCCTGAAACTCAAATTCCTAAATAACAATAGTTAATTTACTTTTATATTTTTACTAATATGTATAAATCTTATTCCAAGTATTTTATTCTAAAACAATTTGATTTTATGTATTTATACAACCATTTTATAATGCAAACTCAAACATTTAATAAACTAGATAGAATTTGAGAGGATTTGTATTATTTATAATATTATTTTCTATAAATTTAATGCTTTATTAATCACCACAATCAGCTTGTTATCCATAACACATCACATATGTATTTACATCTCACAAGAAATCTAAAAAACTATATAAATCTTTTGTTAAATGTAAGACTCAATTATTTGGCCAAAAATATATATAAGACTTAATAAATAATTTTAAAAAATTAAACAGCTAAATAAATTTCTTAATTATAACTTATATTACATAATCTCCTGAAATACTTATGTATATCATTATATTATGTATATCAATTTATAAGTAAGACAAATTAGTTTAGAGAAAAACAATAAATATAATTTTTTTAAAGTAATTTACTTAGCTTTATTAATCTCTCTAAATTAATTAATTAAGTTTTATATTAATGACAGAAAATAATACCCCCTTGTTCTAAATATAATGCCTATTTTATTATAAATTTACTATAAATTTTATAACATGTATTAAATGTTGATATGATGGTATGAAAATTACGAGAAAAGATGTCTAAATTAAAAAAGTATTTGGATGGAAACAAAATTATAATTTTAAAAATAATTTTACAATATATAAAATAAATATATAAAAAAATTTATCTCAATTTATAAAAAATATTTTTAACAAGTGTTTTTGGTCATCCAAACACACGTTAAAATAGGATAATTAAAGCAAACTCTCCGGAAGCAAAAAGTTCGTATCATGAAAATATACTTAGAGACAGAGAAATCGATGTGATCAAACCTTGGTGTCAGTCCTGGCAGAATCAGGTCAAAAAGTTTGTTCAAGGATCACTCTTCAGGGTCTGAGAGTGGGACTTTGTGAGTGAATTTGCTACTTGCTTGTGTTCCTGATTCAAATTGGCTTCTCCGCTTCTTGAATTGATTAAGTCCTCATTCGCATGAGGAATTTGCCCCTGAGCTCGACGTTCGTCGAGCACATTCCTCCTCTTCTCCTCTCCGATTGGTGGAAAGATATCAACAAGTCCACTGTGTGCCAGAACGCCGTATACTTCTCTCTCTGCGGATGCTATGCTCTCGTCTCCACCGCTGCTCTGGTTTCTCTCTCCCCTTTCCTGCACTCTTGATTCACTGTGACCGAAATTTTCCCTTATCTTCTTTCTCGTGTGATTCTTATGTGATTACCTGCTTGATTACAGAAGTGATTTTGTATCCACATTCTGGTCTCCGTTTGCGCTTTTCGAATCAATTTCTTTTGTAACTTGAAGTTTCAATTCTTTTTCCTTGTTGGGGAACGCTTTTCGTGTTCAATTGCTTTTTAACATATATAGCATTGTGTATTCCTGTTTAACCTTCGTAAGCACACTTCTGTTTTTGGCATTGGCCCAAAATACTTTTTCTCCCCATAAAAAACCGTTCTCTCCCCCTGAGAGAAAAGGCTATATTATAATTAATTATTAAAGCTTTGTAGCTATTAGGTGCGCTCATATATTTGTTAATTTACTACACGAAAGCTATCTTCCTATCTTTTTCTTGTTCAAAAATTTCCTTTTGATGCCTTGTACGATACTTGCTTCTGGTACTTCTTTAGTCCGACAATTTCTAATTTTAAATAATTATTTTTAAGCTGTGCATTTGGAGCGGTTTGATAATAAAATGGAATTAAAAAAAAAAAGTGGTTTCGTTCTATGTAAATGGTTTCTCTGCAATTGAAGAAAATAATGATGATGATATAAGGATAATTACTGTAAAGTAACGATGCGGTGTATATCTAAAAGATATTGTGTTCTTTTCTTGTTTGGCAATGTTAAAAGAAATGATGTCTCATTTGTAATGCCAGACGCCCTGTGCTAGACTTCAACCGGTTGTTTATTTCCTACTATTTGTTTTGTTCCTATAGGGCTTTATGTCCCAAAATAATCGCCCTCCTGATGTTATCTTCCTGGTTTCAAAATACTGCAGATTCAATTGATAAGAATTGAATTAAGAGTTCCTGAATATGGTTGGACAACACAAAAGGTTTTTCATTTGATGAACTTCATTGTCAATGGAGGTGACGTTGAAAGTCTTGCCGTTTTTGATATTGTCATTGTCTGTGTGCAATTTTGGGCGTCTAACTCTTTTTGCATTTCCACACTGCAGTGCGTGCTGTGATATTTGGATTTCACCACCAAGTTTTTATCTTACATCCAAAGGTTAGTCTTGCACGTATGCTCTTTATAATTCCCAAGTTGAAGAGGGAATCATTTACTAAGATCAACAGTTTTTTTATTACTTTCCATATTGATATAGAGTGGCTGTACGTTGGATTAGGTATTAGTTTTGGTTCTGTTGGATCTTCCTGGACTACTCTTTTTCTCAACATATACCCTTCTAGTTCTTTTCTGGGCAGAAATTTATCATCAGGCAAGTGCTTCTTCTTTCTTATCATGTTTACAATTATTGATTTTAATTGTGACTGCCAAGAATCTTACTTTAGTGAATTAAATGAGACCAACTCTCAAGAGAAATTATCCATATGACTTGGAAGGAAATTCCTTTTTTCATTTGTTTAGTCCTGGTGTTTCTAATTTTTTTCCCAAAACTGAGCAGGCAAGGAATTTATCAACTGATAAGCTCAGGATAATTTATGCATCTATCAACAGTGCTGTGTATTTTATTGAGGTATCGATCTCGTATCATGTCGTGAAAGCATTTTATGTTTGCTGATTAGAACCGTTTTTGGTTGTTTAATTCTCTTATATTTATCTTAATGCATTTTTCAATTGGCATCCATTTTATTCCTACTTGTTCATGTCATATTCTTGCTTTTGTTTGGGACTGAAAAATATCATATTGTTGCTCTGCATTCTGAGGAATTCTTAAAATGTTGCATTTCTGAATATTCTATTATTCAAGGAAAAATGCTCTCTCTCTATTATCTAATTTTTTAATATGGTGTTGGGCGGCTTCAATGTATAGCAATACCTCATCTTATAAGCTATGATACTCTTGACAGCAGATCTTGCCTTCAAGTGTCCATTCACTTTTGCTTGAGTGAATAAGTTGTGGACACTGGACAGTAATAAGGGGAAAATTCAGTCCTAAGATGTTTTTCTGGTATCTTAAGATGTTTTCCTGGTATCTGAAAATTTCTTTACCAATGAATACCTAGGAATTTGTGCATCTTGACTGTGAAGCTCAACCATAGCTTATTGGCTTTTGGTGACATACAGGATATGCAATTTGGTATCTATTTTTGGTGGTATTTATGGTTTGTTTATTTGTCGTTTCTGCAAGATGATGTCAAATTCAGCATAAATCTCAGTGGCTTCCAGAGCACACAAGAGCTTGGCTTTTTTATCATGTTGTCCATATATAACCATTTTACAAAATTTTTGTTTTGGTTTCAGATTTGCATTTGGATTTATCTTTGGATAGATTATGATAGGGTTGTGGACGACATCGGAAATGTATTTTTTGCTGGTTAGTTTTTCTTCTCATGATAATAGTTATAAGGTGCTTGATATTTTACACCTACTTGTGCTTGCTTGAGACGAAGTTTTGCTGCTGTAAAATGAAACATTGCCTTATGCGAAGACATTTTCTGATTCAGTTTTGTCATTAATGGTTGCACTGGGCTTCTTGCTTTGTGGAGGAAGGTGAGACTTTTGCATTTTGTTTGAATTGCCATGATTTATTAACTTAGTCCTGGTTTCTTCACTAGATTTTATTCTTATTATGGTGGGCTTTTTAATTTTGTCTGATACGCATTGAACACATACAGATTGTTTCTCATGCTGAGGCACTTCCCCATTGAATCTAGAGGGAGAAGGAAAAAGCTTCATGAGGTATGTGCATTTCCGTCTTAGTTGGTCTATTTGATGGAAATTGCTCTGGGAAAATGATTTTCAATGTAATCCTTTGCTTGTGAAATTCGTTGAAAAATAAACAATTTTATATTTTGCCAGTTCCATCCTTCTTCATTGACCTCTACTAATAAAAATAGTAATGGAAAAAATACAAATATTCTATTGTTGTCCAAGTATTTGGAAGACAAGGTGGTTTGACAGCTGAAATTTGTTGAGATCGTGATTATTTTTTTTTTGCTGGCTTTTTCTTTCTTTAGTGCCAGAAATTTCTTTGCTGACTTTAACCACTGAAATGTGTAAGGTACAAAATCATATCATATAACCTCTTCAACCATCAACTGAAGCAGAATAGCTCTAGCTTTTCCTTTGTAAAAATTCATATTTATTCTTTATCAGAACTTTGGAGTAAAATATGAAAATCAATGGATTTTATGTTTGCATTGTCGTGCCCCATTTGTGCTACATTAAAGCCAAAACTTTGGGGTTCTTGGATTACACCATAAAGTTATGAACTATGAAGAATCTGTTAAAAGCAGCTTATTTTATTCAGTCTCGGCATGGATCAAGAAAATGAAAAGTTGAGTTATCGAAAAAGAAATTGAGAAGTTGATAGTATCATGTATTAGTTGTATTGACAGCACATGAGCTGTGTTGCAGGTTGGATCTGTCACAGCCATATGTTTCACCTGCTTTCTTATCAGATCCTTTATGGTAATGAAATTTTTTCTTGAGCATTTGAATGTTAATTTATCGCAAGTGTAGATTTCTTATTGTTTTCTTCTTGAACAACACCATCTGTGCTTTGGTCGTCCTCTCCCTTATCTTTGGTACAAGAAGTTGGGATGCTCAAAGAAAGCAAATCCAAAAACACGAGCATTGCTACCAAAATATGGCGTCATATCCTGTATGCATGGTAGATATTCAAAATATTCTAAAAGATAGAGTATTTTAATCTAGACCATGACTCCTTGTGTTCTATGAACGAGTATATTGTGTGTCTCTGCATAATTAACGGACAAAAACAATAGGTAAAAGTGCAAAGTATGGTATCTGGTAGTTAATGATGTCAAAAATATGAGTGTAATGGATTTTGTTCATAAGAAGCCAATTGTGGCACTGCATTGATGGGAAAAATCCTATCATGTTTTTCCCAGTGTCATCTAGATTGACTAGAATCAACAACAACAAAGCTTTATCCTACTAGATGGGGTCGGCTGCATAGATCTCATAATGCCATTGAGTTCTATCTGAGGCTAAATCTTTAGATATATTATTAATTGAAAGATCTAGCTCAATAACTTCATTTAGTGTTCTTTTTGGCCTTCCTCTATCCTTTTTAGAGGACCTTATACTGTTTGATCAACCATTCTCATCGGTGCATCCAAAGGCCTTCTTTGCATATGACCAAACCATCTTAAACAGTTTTCTACCGAAACATCAAGAGTGACTAGAATCACTAGTAAAAAATCTCAAGTTATTGAAAATGGGAAAACAACAGAACTTTTGCTGATAGGCAAGATTGGCGGGATCAAATGCAAAGATTGCAGGATGGAGACTGAATATAGGGAAAAAGGAGGGGAAAGGCTTGACGTCTTTGCCATGGGAACTAAAGCTGCATGATTGAAGTTAATTGATGGTCCCGTTTGGTATGAATCATTGAAAATAAGATGTAAGGATTAGATTGGGATTGAAAAATTACATTAAAAGAATATTTAATGTGAGTGATTGCATGCTACTTGGGATTGGACAAATCTATATGTGTGGGATTGGGGAATACCATAGAGGGAAGTGGTATTCCCTAATCCCACCTAAATGGGCTTGCCCAATCCCAAGTTGCCAGCAATCACTCATATTAAAGATTTTTTTTTTTTTTCAATCTTAATCACAATCTTTATATCTCATTATCAATGCTTCTACCAAATGTAACCGATAGTATCAATAATTATGCTATTGTACTTCATGCATTACAGACTTATAGTATCTTTCTTATTTTATATAAAAACTATTGCAGGTAATCCTTGGTACATTTGATTCTAAAGCATCACTTGATGTTTCGAATCACCCAATTTTGAACTTGATTTACTACATGGTAACCTGCAGAATCTTGCTTCCTCTTCTTTTTTCAATTGCCTCTAGTATCTTGGTTTGATTATATTTGACATCTGGGAATCTTTTTTGTCAAACAGCTAGTTGAGATCATGCCTTCAGCTTTAGTCCTTTTCATCCTGCGCACATTACCCCCAAAGAGGATATCAGTTCATTATCATCTTGTCCAATAGCAACACTGCGTTTGGGAATTTTTATTTATTCTTTCCAATTGACCATAATTCCACTGGGTTCCTCTGGTTGGATGCTATTGAAATTCAGCAGATGCAGAGAAACAATCCCAACATAGTCCGCCAGATACATCAACCCCTGCGAAACACAAAGCAACTATACTGCTTGAGACTGACAGTTTGGATTTATTTTTCTAGGCTGTGTTATTAAAGCAGGTATTAACCCCCCCCCCCCTTCTTCCTTCTAAATTTGAGGAAGGAGGGGGTTGTTGAAAGGCTTTAGGAAATCGAAATTCTCATGTGGTGTAGAGAAGTGGGGTTTGAGCCAGCCTCCAATTTTTTGCTTTAATATTATATATAGATGTTATACATTATTAGTCCTTAAAATTTATTCAAATTTTATCTTATATATGAACTTTTTTAGATAAATGCCCATTATCTAATTAATTTGAAATTTTGTTTCCAAATTATAAATACATAATTACTCTTTAAATACACGTCCATTCAATTTGTTTAATATAAATATTATCTTTTCTAGAAAATCGAAATTATCCAAAAGTTTATGCACCCATCTTTCATTTTTTTTTGGTTCAGATTGAAACTATTAAAAAAAAAAGGGACCTCATTATTTACATATCTTTATAATTTAGAAGCTTCCAGATTTATCTCTTTAGTTTTAAAATGGTTCCATGGCTCATGTAAATCATTCGTTTACCCATGTGCCTTCTCTTCTGCTTCTCTGTCCACTTCACACCCACTAATGTTTTTTTTTTTTTTTGGGGCACTTCTCCCACCCGCCCCATTGGTGTATACGTGGCAGTTACACCCGACTCTATCCCCCACATTGTCTGTAAGTCAAATATCACATGATTCATGAACCATTTCTTTATTTTTGCCTCAAATGAAAATCCCAGAGTCTTTCATGAAAAGGTTAGCCCAAAGAAAGTGCCGTTAAAAAAAGGAGAAAAGAAAGAAAAGAAAAGAAAAGAAAATGAAGAAAGAATAGAAAAGAAAAGAAAATGAAGTCTTCCATTATTGGTTTGTTGATTTTCAACGCGTTGAAAGAGAGAAGAACTCTAAAGGCATATGCGGTGGTCAAGCATGGCTTTGATATTTCACTTAATTCCTTTAGACCTTTTTGGTTCGTTTGTTTCTTTCTTATATTGTGGAGCAAGAGCAGTATTTACAGTTTTATTCTTTATTGAAAAAAATAATATACTACCTCCGGTCTTAATTATAAGACCCAGTTGACTTATTTGAGGAGATTAAGAAAGCAAGTTAAATTAGTTATTTGTAATGAATAAGTGTTGTCATTCTTAAAATATCCTTGCTAATTAAGTGTATTGGCTAGAACTATCATTACTAGAATGACTATCTTGGAAAAAAATGTATAAATATGAAAGACAAAATGGATTGGGGTCTTATAATTAAGACCAAATAAAAAGTCAAATGAGGTCTTATATTAAGGACCGGAGGTAGTATTAAGCCCGCTACTGCCAATGTTACAACTTTGAACTCCTCTAAACTATATACTCTTTTTGGTCATTAATATGAGAGTTATTTAATTAATTTGAGTAGATTAAAAAGGTTAAATAAACTAGTTAAGTATAAAAAATATAATCTAATCTCTTTCAAATACTCATATAATATTAGATTATATGTCAATTTATAAATTAGATAAATAAGTCCTCAAAAAATGATAGATATGAAAAATAAAATGAGTTAGAGTTTTATATTTTGAATGAAATCTAACCACCTAATAACTAGTTTCTATATTAAAAACATAATCAAGAATACAAGAATATGGGTTGGAACCATTGGGCTAGTCCCAACCTGTCAAAGTACAGGCTACTCTAGCCCGCATCACATAACCCTCTAGTTGCAGTGGACTAGCACGCGAGTTGGGAGTTGGCCTGCCTAACCCATTATTTTTTTATATATATAAATATATGTTGTTATATTTGAAAATTTTTTTGTCTAATTTACATTTCAATTTTCCTATTACATATCTAGACAAAAAATATTAAAAAAAAATATAAGCATACTATATTTATAATAAAATTTTAACAAATGAATAAAATATAAGAGAATATTTATTACAGAAAACAAATATTTTAGAAAAATATGGTCAATGAACTTTAAGAGAAATTAGATATATGCGCTTTTAATTGATTAAGAGATGGTTTTTTCTATCAAATATTGTATCTGTATGAAAAGATTGTAAAATTTATCACTTGATAAGTTGATACTTAATATTAATTATGTAAGATGTTTGTAATGAATTGTTTTATATTTGTATTAACTATTTTAAATGTGGTTAAACATAGTTTATGCTTATGATTGCTTTTGAAATTTGGGATCACTATTTATTAATTTGAAAAAGTAAATGAAAATAAATTTTAAAAATTAACAATTTAAAAAGAAAAAAAAGAAAAAAGAAAGATGGCCAACAAGCTATGGCGGGTTAGGACGTTTTTTCACCCCGCTAAAATGTGGGCTACTCCAATTCGAGCCGCTGCGTAAGATGGAGTTGTGACAGGCTGGCCAGTATTCTGGCCATAATTAATAATGAGAGAATAGTACCTTTTCTCTCTTTTCTGAGCGAACACTGCTTACCCATTTACAGCTATAAGGAAGGGACCAATAACACAAGAGCGCACACAGTTACAGGGATCAGTGGGCGGCTGTGAGATTTATAGAAAGACTAGATGATGGAGGGAGAAGAATCTGACCCATAGAAAGGGAGAATAAGTCAAGCGGAAATAGTACTCTCCCGGTCCTAAATATAGAACCAGAAGGAGTATATTAGAAGGGTCAAACGTATGTCTTCCCATGCCAGCACTTACGTGTCGTACACGTCAACATTTTGTTGGCCATATAAACAATTTCTATAGACTGTAGAGCACCTGTTTCAAAATTGATATGGACTGTAGACACAAAATGATTCAGGAAAAGTAGTTAAAAGGAAAGAGAGATTGGTCCCAAACCATAACCTCAAGCATTGGAGAGAAAGGCAATCAATATGCACAATTTCAGAAACCTGGTAAGAGCAACAAACAAAAAAAAAACCAAGATTTGTACCACTTCTTTCTATAAAGATTGGAGAAAACTCCAACCCTTTAGGTCAGTCACTGTTTAAATAGACATCTATGTATATTTATAGTTATTTTTACAATGCACAGGCACTTGAAGGCCAGATCCCTAGAAAATGGGGTTTCTCAAACCTCTCAAGTGTGAGGACTTTCATCTGCAAATATTTATATTCAATCATGGTGAGGAGCTTCAGCTTGTGGCGGAGCAAATCTAACATTTGCTGGCCGGGCCACCACGACAGGCTCATCAGCAAATAGTGCTTTGATGAACGAAGGAGTTTTAAGGGGTCGCCGGCCGGTCATCCGAGGATAGACATCTTCTAGAAAATAGTATGCATGACCAGCAATCATTCCCTGAACCATGTTTTCAACTTTAACAGAAGCCATCCAGCACATAAAGAAATGATTCAAGGCAATACTGAAATAATGCATTACTTAAGCAAGAGACATACCAGTAGATCCACCCAAGCACTAGCACCCACAAGAACAGAGAATCCTAGGAGAACCTATATTCACACAACAAAAAGATCAGATTGCTTATGTTCAAGAAATGAAGAAAATAAAAACCAAGTATAAGCACATATAATCTGGAAGTTCGGGTTCTCTCCATTTATGGTCCAAAAAGAAAATGTTTCAAGCGAATTCTGGTCATCCATTATATCTAAGAGTTTAGATTATAGAAGTGAAAACTACTGCAAAACAACCATAAGCCTCGATTTATGTGCACTTCTTTTGAAGTTTCCATATACCGTGTAGTATAATACTGCACCACTGGCTCTAGTATAAATACTTTTTTGAAAAAATATTCTTGGATGTTTTTTTCCGAGTTCATTCTCTATAGATCTAAACATCTAAATGTCTAAATTTGCCTAAAATTACCGTTATTTTCCTGCTCAAAATTGAGAGGACCTTAGGCCCAACATCATATAAATATTATACCAAGAGCTCTTACTCACCCAAGGAAGGTAAGCTGCTGTGAAAGTAAAGAGGCCGAGGAAGCTCATGTGGATGAAGGGATTTTGTTTGCCCCATACATATACCTAGAAATTACACATTGTTAAAATCTTTTTATAACACCAAGACAGTTAAAATTTAAACATAAAGTAAAACACAACTGACCATCATAAATGTTAATGAATTGCTAAGGAATATAATTTTTGCAAATGACACTGAGATGTATGGTATCATCCCGCCACCAACAACAATCCCAGTCAACAATGTAGCCCCAAACAAGAGCATGTAAAAGAAATCAGCTGTCCTTCCCCTGAAGGAATTCTCCTCTAGAAGCTTGCAGTACCGAGCAAGAAAGAACATATGAAACAAGAAATCCAAGTCTGCCAATACCATGTCAAGTCTAAGTTAGAGGGTGACACAGAACCTTCAAACTAAATATCAACTGATATGGAAGAAGAAATAACAGAACACAATCCAGGGATGCATGGTTTTTGCTGGTGAAGTGTTCCCTAACTAATGTGCATGATGTTTATCAGGGAAAAAAGAAACGAGTACAAGGTTGTTTTGAACTGCCGAGTTAAAAAGGTAGATGAGCATTGTCTCACTTATCAGGGTTTTTTAGAGGGAATATGTTGCAATTTAAGTGCAAATAAGCTATGCAGCTAACAAACTCACTCATAGATAGAAAATATCATCAGGAAAAAGAGGAAAATTAGAGGACTTGGCGAACCATCCTACATATCCATTAAAATTAAGAGATTCGTGACTAACATATACATTACTCAGACCATCAGTTCAAGCTTTTGTTAATGATTTTAAGAAAGAGTATCATCTCTGAATGGTGTCACATGCACACATATGAGCTAAATCTAAAATAAGGCCTCCAAATGCAGTGGACTGTCAGAAATGCCATACAATAATTCCTCCGTTTCTGCCTTCTAACAAGACCACAAAAGGCCATCAGCATAATCAGATAGATCCAAAAGAAAAACAAGTCAACTCCTTGAAACTCCATAGCAAGCCCTCTTATATTATGACTCAAAAATTAACTTCCCAGCTCTGCACAGCCTTCAAATCTTTGCTTCAAAGTAGGACATCCGGAAATCCTGTGGTTGCAAGTTGCTACTTCTCTTTACAGATTCTCCTGTCTCTCTTCATCCTCTCTTTTATGTCATCTAATTTCTCATAGTTATTATGGAGTTTGTGACAACAAAATCAACTGTACGTGTGAGTACAGTTTCTCCTGCAAATAATTGGGTTTTTTTTTTTTTTTAAAAAAAATATTGTTATCATGTTGTCTTTCCGAATCTAGAGTTGATATAGGCAGCATAACATGTGCTACATCATATTTCAATGTAGGCTAAGCTATGTCATATACATAGCATTATGAGCAAAAGAAAACGTTTTGATTTTTTCATAGAAAAACACAACAATGCTGCAAAAGCAGAGCAGAGAAGGAAGTCGCTATGAACCAACGAATCATTGTCGATCAATAATAATTCTTTAAAAAGGTAAATTGCAAGCATTACCCATTCTACGGAAGTAGAAGAAATTGGTAATGAGACGCCAGAATTGATATTGCTTAACCACCAGTTTAGGGTTCAAGTACAAATGATACGGAGAAATTATCTGCAAAGCCATAACAAAAATTATTACTCAACGAAATAGCTCGACATAATAAAATAGGAAATGACAAGTTTGAACTACAAATGCCAACCGTAAAACAAGATAAAGAAGAAAAAAAAACCAAGACTTTTCCAGATTTTCAGCCAAACCAAAGGAAATGAACAGAACCCAATCATAACACGTTTATATATTTCTCAAGACAAGCACTACGGTTAAAGACGAAAACTACAACAACCCAATCAATCTTTTCGTTCTTTTACGCGATTACGGATCCTATCGATATGTGTCTGGTGCCCTTCTTGAAGGAATACTTCAAGAACTTCAATCCCACAAATTGACCCCAAGTTGCAAAATTACCTCATCTTAACAACTGAAATAATCTTTGGATAGTTTAGAGCTAAAACAAAAAAAATTTATCGCCACTACTGGAGAAGAACTAGCAAAATCAAAAAGATAAAAGAACATTTAAACCGATAAGAAGAGAAAGAAAAAGAAGAAAGTATACATCAAGGGAACAGCCGATGGTGGTGACAATTGCAGCTGTAACATACGAGCGCGTAATGATGGGCATCTGTTTATACCATTCTTCAACAGCTTGAGCCATTATGTGAATATGTTAACTAGAAGAAGGGTGAAGAAATTCTGATGCAGTGCATGTAGTGCGAGGGAAACTAGAATGTGAAGGATTGAAGGCTAAGGTAAAACAGGGTGTCTGTGGTTGAAGGATAGAAACAAGTCTACCGGCAAATCACAAGCTATATCCTTAAAATCTTTCAATCCAATCTAATTTTAGCATCTCAGATTAATTTTTTTAAAATATGATAATATAAACTTTAAATATAATATTAGATAAATGTCCTGTTTGCCGGTACGTTTCACCTAAGTCGAAACAAAATTTCTTTTACAATCACGGTTGAAAAGTTACTTGTAAATTATTCCAAACGGGTGCATTAATATTTTAATATAATTTTGTATGATTAAATAAATAATAAAATATATTCAGCTCAAAAAAAAAATAAATAATAAAACATAATATTAATTAATTAATTAATTCTGGCATATTTTCATACTTTTTTTCAAGCTAGAGATCCAACTTGGATAAGCTTAAAGGTGAGGTGGAGATGGCAGAGAGAAGCAAAGCCATCTTTTAATTAATTAATTGAGGACGATTGAGCACAATGAAGGTAATTGACACGCACAAAGGACCTGTTTGGAAAGATTTAAAAAATTCCTTATAAGCATATTTTACGTAAGTCGAGACAAAATTCTTTTTATATACTTATCTCATATTTTATAAATTATTATTAAAAAACTATTTATATTTATAAACTATTTATAAACTATTTTAAATAGGTGCAAAGCTGACGCTGAGGAAAAGTCCAGTTAAACCCGCGGGTGTGGAGATCATAATAAATAACTAATAAAACATAGCATTTTTTTTTTAGATTTTTACGTATTTTCATAAAGTCGATGAGACTAAGGGTGCACATGGGCAGGGCTGGACAGGGCAGAACCCCTGCCCGATGCCCAGCCCGAAACATGAATGGGCTGCATTTTGCAGCCCGCTGCCCGGCCCTGCCCATAGAAGCCCTAACCATTTTGGGCTGGGCATGGGCGGGCTGGGCAGGGCGGGCTTTGCTGCCCAAATGATGATGACCTACCGATATCACATGTAAAAAAAATTTCATCCATACCTAAAAATTACATTTCATAATTTTATATTTTCACACATTAAAATTATCCAAAAATAATTCAAAACAAGTCTTAGCAAATATCCAAATAAATAATATTCATAATCTATTTAGAACAAAACAACTCTCAAGATTGTAATTAAAGTCTTGAAATTCAAACGGTTTGCATTAATCTCTAGAAAGTTGAGAAAAGAATAAAACATCTGAAAAAATTGAAGAGGGGTTGAAGCACATTGAGATATTCCATTGGGAGCCAGGGATGGCGATGTAATAGAAACTTGATTATCCATTTAAGTGGCAAAAATTAAATGTTACCTAAAAGATTGTAAAAAGATATTAAAACTGAAGTAATGGGCTAATAGGAATAACATAGACCATATAAAAATGAGGTGAAAATAATTTTAAAAAGAAAAATAAAAATAATCTCATAATAATTTAATATAACGACTTTTAATATGTAAATACTTATTATGCGATACAATGCAGCTAGCAGTCCATACAACTAAAAGACTTCTTTCTATCATATGACTTGTTCATAAAAAATTAATACAAAATAACTAAATATAAATCAAATAGAAAACATGTAATTCAGATAATTAAACCCCAATTTTCTTTCCATGCTCCTACCCCAATCTTGTTTTCTATCTTACATAAATATTCAAAATTGTTTATTTATACAAATATGTAATGTATGAACTCAATTCTCTAACAAAGAAAGTTGTTAATGACATAGAGGGGAAGATTGACTTATAAATAGCCAACACTACAACAGCAACAAACAATAGGATATACACAATAAAACTCACGAATAACAAGTTAAAAGCAAGATACTACTGCTTCTTTAGAAGAATTAGATCCCTTAAAATAGAAAACTAATAGACATGTAATAATAATAAGTTAAATTGCAAAAAGGAGGGAGATAACTTTTTTTTTAGGTAAAGAAATGTAATATATTAATATTATTTTATAAATTATAATATATATAATCTGGGCAGGGCCAAATGGGCAGGGCAGCATGTCCTGCCCGATGCCCAGCCTTGCCCATGAAATGCCCAGCCCAAAGATGCCCATTCTTTTTCGGGCTCTTTTTTTTCAGGCTGGGCTGGGTAATTTTTCTTCGGGCTCGGGCGGGCTTTGCGGGCATTTGGGCTTCATGCACACCCCTAGATGAGACTAGATACTGAACCAGGAGAGAGCAAGGGGAATTTTTGGACGAGGAATGACATAGACATGGCAAATCTCAGCGGGCGTGCGTACCACGCACCAATTGAATTGTTCTTTTTCGTCAATACCACTTTGACACGAGGGGAGAAACTAAACAGTTCCTCCAAAATCTCCTAATCTAATATAATCATATGGATATATTAGCGACTGGGTTTGTATTATTGCTGGTAATTACTTTTGATCGAATTTTGATTTTAAGGGTGTTTGGCAATCTCTAAAATATAGTTTGAGAAGCACTTTTCCGCAAAACGAGGCAAATTCCTCAACATATTTACTTCGTAAATCATAAAAGCAATTCTGAAATCATGGTTTGGTTTCTATCCAAACACTCCCTTAGTCGTTGCAGTACAAATCATGCTTTTCAATTCTTATGCTCTCATAAAAATTTGGTCTAAATTCAAATGCGTTGTAAGATGTAGGAATGATAAGCAAAATGGTTAAAAATATAAGACCAAAACTACAACGCATTAAAAATACCTAGTACATATAATTTTAATAAGTTTTGATTTTAGTTTCATCCTAAAGGGTGCTTGCATGGAAACCAAATTACAGTTTCAGGAATGATTTTACGATATACAAAGTAAATATGTGGAGGAGCTTATCTTGATTTATTAAAAGCATTTCTCATGACATCCAAACACCCCCTTAAAAGCATTGATTTGGACCAAATCATATAAAACTAAAATGACAAAAAAATCATGACTTGAAACTATAGAGATCAAAACCAAAATTCAATGAAATTATGAGAACTAACAATGATACTCTTCCGATTCTTAATATAAAACATAATTGTTGATTTGATCTTAATACTAAATGTAAAACCCATTTTTTATATTTATCAATTTTTTTAAATTACTTTTATTGATACTCTCTCAATCATAATTAAGTAGGAAAGTGAAGGGCGATATTAAGGAAGATTATTATAATGTTTTAGGAAAAATACGTTATATATATTGTAACTAATTAACTTATCTAACTTTCTTAATCTAATCAAATTAGTTAAATAGGTCTTTCATTAAAAATGTAAGGAGTACTAAATATTAACCCTTAGCAATTTAGTATGAAAATACACTAAAATTTATATTTAGAACGGAATGTAGGTTGTTTTTTTTTGGGTGAATAACGGAATGTAGTATTTGATACAGTCACATTCAATGAAACTTTTCACCCTCAAGTTTGCTTTAATTATACAAGTCCTTAAAATTTTATTAAAATATTACATTTCATTGGAGCAAGCTCAAGCCTCAAAAAATAATTAATTATCTTTTAAATCATGGCAAAATTGTTATTTGTTATAAAAGCCATTAACCTTTCTAACATGGTTCAAGAGTTTTGTCGTTTCAACATTCAATAGCTCTTGAATACGCATTTATATATGATGCATTCTTTTTCACTCAACATGTAATTTCAATTGCATAATAAATAGTAGTTCTCACGTACACACAATGATTAAGCATGGGTTTGGAAAAACTTGGAATAAGTATTTTCACATTTTATTAGATAAATTTTTCTCACATATTTATTTTGTACAATGCAAAATTATTTGAGATAAGTTAATTCAAACAAACATTAAGTTCAGAAGTTACGTTGATTGATTTGTTTAATGAAACAACTCAAGAATAAGATAGCATGTTGTTTTCACCATTTGTTCCTTAAATTAATGGTGAATGCATCTTTGATGTGAAATGAACGAGGGAATCTCTCCTGTTTATAAAATTTATTTTTCATTTTGGAGAAAATAAACGGGAGAAGTGACATCAAGCTTTAAACTTAGATCTCACGTTGACATATTTTTGTACATGCATGTTTATTTGTATAAAATAAAATAAAAATTATTATTCTTGTGAATGGATGAAGGGGTGCTTGTTTTTGCTTCTCAGAGGTATTTTCATATAAGTTAAGATAAAAAATTTTCATACATATTTATCTTATATATCATAAAATTATGATAAAAAAAGTATACTTTGCTTTTATATATTCTTTTTGTTTCACAGTTATATTTGTTTGATTAGATGGTTGTACATTTATTATTATCACTTAAATTCTTATATTAAAAAATCATAATAATATTTATAATGATTAAATGAATTGCATGTTTGGTTTCATGTCAAGGTCATAAATTTTTCACCATTAAATCAAATTAGCAGTTGAATGAATGAATGAATGGGATTCATAGCACATGGACCGAATCATATCGAGAAAAAATCTTGAGAATCTCTACCGCTTTATTTATTTATTTATTTTTGGGATAGCATTCTCTAGCGGTTTTTTACATTAGGAATAATATAACTACTCACTTAATTAATTTATAAGTTCTTATTATCTTAATTAATTTTAATATGGTTTATATATATATTTATCCTGATAAAAATATATATATATTTATCATGTGTTTATAATTTTTTTTATCAGATCATTAAAGTCCTACCTGATTTTTAATTAATTCTCTATAGTTTCAGGAGACTGATACAAAATTACCAGGATTTGTTAAAAATAATTGAAACTATTAGGACTTGATAAAAAAATTTTAGGGATTTAATTAAAAATCAAATAAAATTACAAGAATTTATAGATTAATTATACTTATTTAAAATATATATACATATATACAGAAATACAAAGAAAAATAAATTTTATCATTTTTCGTAATAATGAACATTTTTATAACATAGAAGGAAATATTATCCGCCTAGCCAAAAAAGAAAAAAAAGGAAATATTATCTGACGATATAGTGATTTTTACATGTTAGTTTTAAATAAGGGAC